AGAAAAACAAGAGTAAAATGGAAAGACTTCACAAGTTTTTAAAAAAGAAATGATGGGCAGCCGTGGCCCTGTGCTTGTTTTGGAAATAGGCATATCCTTTTCTTCCTAAGAGTAAATGTTCTAGGTAAAGAACACAATGCAGGGATGAAGAACACACACACACGCACACACACACACACACACACACACACACACACATACACATTCTACGTGTTAAATACAATAACAGATGGTTAACAAAGGGATTTGAAGACTAGTGTAATATTTGGGCTAACCTGCTGACTGATTTTGGTTTTCTTTTCATTTTTATATATATTAGATGTTGGGTCAGTTAGATAGAGGCCTCCTCCTCCTCCTCCTCCTCCTCCTCATCTGAAATATTCGTTGAAATAATATGTTTTAAGAATCGGCGGAACGGGTTCCCTTCAGAAGTTGCAGGTCCTCCATCGCTGGAGCTTTTCAAGAAGAGACCGGAGAGCCATTTGCCTGGAATGGTATCCCGTTTGAGCAAGGGGTTGGACTAGAAGACCTCCAAGGTCCCTTCCAACAGAGTAATGTTCTGTTATATGCCCCCCTCCCCCTCCCCTCCGTAGAGTGGATTACAGTAATCCATTCAAGAGGTGACAACAGTGCAAGTAACTATAGTCACTCCTTCATGTCCCAGGAAAGGTTGAAGTAGGGTGAAGGTGTTCCAGGCCATGGCCTCCTTTTGATCTTCTGTGACTTCCAGGTAACCTTCCAGATTGTGAGGTTGCCCTTCAGGAAAAGCCCGACCCCCATCGAGAGTTAGAACTGGCTTAAAGTTGGTATAATTCTGGCATTATCTGTCTTTTGAATTAATAGCCACTCTGTCTTGCTTGGATTACACCTGATAGGTAAAGGTAAAGGTTCCCCTCGCACCCTATGTGCTGGTGGTTTCCGGCTCTAGGGGGTGGTGCTCACCTCCGTTACAAAGTCGAAGAGCAAAGCGCTGTCCGAAGATGTCTCTGTGGTCATGTGGCTGGCATGACTAAATGCCAAAGGTGCACGGTGAACGCTGGTTACCTTCCCACCAAAGGGGTCCCTATTTTTCTACTTGCATGCTTTACGTGCTTTCGAACTGCTAGGTTGGCAGAAGCTGAGACAAGTAACGGGAGCTCACTCCATTAGGCAGTGCTAGGGATTCGAACCGCTGAACTGCCGACCTTTCTGATCGACAAGCTCAGCGTCTTAGTCACTGAGCCACCGTATCCCTTTTTTCTCCATGCTTAGCCATGCTTTTTAGAACCTGGAAGCTATGGAGTTTGGTGGCCTCTAGAAGACCGTCTGCTCCCTACTTTTTTTGAGTACAAGACTAGAAATCCCAGCCGGTCTCAGGTATCCAGGTACTGATACTGATAGACTATTTCCAGGCTATTTAAGCTGTAGGGTCCTTGGGACTGCACTGATGACGTTACCTAGTTTGGCAATGAAACGTCTGCAAGGAAACCAGCAAACTCAGAGAGCACTGAGGACCCAATGATTATACCCAAGCATGCTTTCTCCCATTCAGGTCTGGTAGCCTTCCAATCAAAACTTCTGCTGCATCTCCTATTCGTCCCAGAGTGGAGATATGCAAACAGTAGGATACAGTCAAGATCAAGGGAGGTACTAAAACTATGAAGCCTTAGTAAGAACACACCTAGAGTACTGCTTCCAGTTTTGGTCATCACATTATAAAAAGGATATTGAGGCTCTGGAAAGAATGCAGAAAAGAGCAACCAGGATGATTAGGGGACTGGAGGCTAAAACATATGACGAACAGTTGCAGGAACTGAGCATGGCTAATCTAGGGAAGAGAAGGACTAGGGGAGACAGGAGAGCAGTCTTCCAATATTTGAGGGCCTGCCACAGAGAGGAAGGGGTCAAGCTATTTTCCAAAGCACCTGAAGGCCAGACAGGGAATAATGGATGAACAAGGAGAGATTCAACCTGGAAATAAGGAGAAATTTTCTTACAGCAAGAACAATCGACCAATGGAACAGAAGTCGCCTTTGGAAGTTGTGGGAGCTTCATCACTTGAGGCTTTCAAGAAGACACTGGACTACTATCTGTCAGAAATGGTGCAAAGGTCTTCTGCTTGGGTGCAGGTTTGGACTAGATGACCTACAAGGTCCCTTCCAACTCTGATTATCTGTAAACTAAAATAATATGCAACAGAGAATTGTTGGGATATCTAGGTTGGCTTTGGGCAACTCCCAATTTTTGTTTCTTTGAATTAAAGCCAACCAGTAGCTTTGATCTTTCTTCGTGTGACTTGGAAACTGGGGGAGGGAAGGGGGAGGACTTTGAGTTTGCAGTTTTCCTTTGAAGCTTTCCTGGGCTTGTCAGGGTCTTGAGAATTTCCTGGCATCTCCTAACAAAAACCTGAGATTACCTTTCTGCTCAATTCAGTGCTTGTCAGATTGTGGGTGGGATGCTACCTTTAAGTTGTGATATCATTGTAGGGCGTGATACTGTAATCGCTGAATGTTTGCAGGTTTTGAAATGCTGTTGATTGGATTATGGAATCGGAATCAAAAGGGTCCTTGACATCTATCAGTTCCCTATTAGGCACGGATTAAAGCAGACAGCTGAGGCAAGCTAGCTATTCAGCCTTTGCTTGAAAATAATCAGCAAACCGAGTCATTCCTTACGAATTATTTCCACCATTAAATTACTCTTACAGTTAGTTTCCAGGCCCCTAATAAATTCTCTTTACAGCTGTTCATGGTTGTCTGGATGCCTCTTAAAATGTGATGCCCAGATCTGAATACAGCAGCTGAGACGGGAGCGGGGAAACAGCACAAATTGGAGTGAAACATCTGCCTGTCACATCCAGCCTCACTTCCATGGGAAGTGAATTTGAACCTGTTTTGGCAATTGCAGTCGGTGATAAAATGAGATGCAGTATTTTCTGTTGGAAAAAGTTCCCTGCTCTATTGTTCGGTTGAAAAATTTCCTGTTTTACCACTGATATTGTTTTGGAAAATGCGTGAGTGAATGCCAGGTGAGTGAAACGGTAGAATTAAAAGGGATTTCATTGCTAATAAAAGTGTAAAGCCAAAATATAATATACCAGGGAGAAGCCCGACCTCTGAAACTAAACTTACAGCAAACTTAGGAAGAACGTCTTGTTATGGATGTTGCAACTCTTGTTAAAGTCTTATTATGGACATTACTTGGTTTATTTTCCTTTTGTGTAACGTTCTTCAGTAACTTAAAAGGAAGCGCATGTATGTTTGTTATTGATTATCATCTCTTTAAACGTTTGCAAATGTTATGGTAAAATATTGACATTACTTTTGGCTAAAATGTTTCAAAGTATCCTACTGAAGTCTTTTAACTTTTTTTCCACCCTGAATCAAGTTCTACTTTTTAGATGTTTCCCATGGTGAATATACTTTCTTCTCACACATTTTTATACGGCATGTAAAATTAATGTAATGCCCTTTAAAATTGAAATCAACTTTGACATAAATACGTCAAGCAAGCTCTCTGTTCATTTCCAAACAGCTGTCAAGCAACAGAAAACCTTTACCAAAAATTTCCCAATGCGCATTTTTGGAGAAGACGAAGGGGTGCTGGGGATGATGGGAACTGTACTTCTCTGCACTGAGAGAGAGCACCAGATTAGGGGTGGCTGTGGTAAAATCTATTTCCATGTGACCTCCAGATGCAGAAGGTGGCTTTTAAAAGGAACTAATGACTTGGAAATCAATGGTTTTGTTAATATTTGAACCTATTAGCACCCCACTTTTCATTGTGTAACGCACCTCTTGTGAGTTGTGTAGGTGGGT